AGCAATGCCGAAGGAGCAAGCAAAGACTTCGGGTCCGAGACTACCAAAAGAGAGTTAGCTCTTTCAAGGGACGAAGACGTTCCAGCCATCTTCGATCCCTCCTTGAAGGGGTAACAAGATGCAAGCTAACGCCACTATACAAAATCAGGAGGAAGCTGAGCAACACTCACGGACGCAAATTATTGGTGCATACGAACAGGAGTCGTGTCATCACCAAGGATTGCTTTGCTTCTGCAAGAATAGCATTCAGACCTTGGTTGAAAGCCGGCGTCATAAAACGCTGAGGTAGCCAATTGAGAATGGGCACAACTCCGACGTATAAGAGTATAAACTGCTTCCTGACACTCCAAGATACACGAGTATAATGTTTTCAACAACTCAAAGGTATACGGTATAAAGCTGTTTCTCAATCCTCCGACGGTATAAGAGTTACACTACTCCTGATACTCGCAATAGGTATCATGAGCTCTAAACTGTTTCGCCCACTTTTGACGGAAGTTCCTGGAGTAATATTAAGCTATATTCTTAAGGATAACCCGGTTAGTTAACTAATACTAATGTCGAACCAGTTCCGCGGGCAGAGGAAACTGGGTGGATCCGATTTTGTAATGGGAAGTTCCGCAAAACCACAACAATGTAATGAATAAAGAACTCCCATTCTACAATGTCTATGCACTCACACTCTCTCTGTTAGAGTCTGGACGTAAAGTACCACTTTGGGTCAAAACTTTCTTACAGTTAGGACCACAGTCAAATCCCTGCTCGATTCCCCCTAATGAAGAGAGGTCCACAAATTGACGGATCAAACGCTTCTACGTTAGGATTGCTCAAAACACCCCTTTGGTCAAAAGCCTTCTTACAAGTTAGGACCACAGTCAAAATCCCGCTCTCAGATTGCCGCCCATCGGACCGAGAGTCACAATGAGCGATCAAAACCTTCTACAGTTAGATTGTCTCAAAACACGCCCTTGGTCAATACCTTCTTACAGTTAGGACCACCAGGTCAAATCCGCGCTCTCGATTCCCCCATGAACGAGAGGTCCAAATGAGCGATCAAACCTTCCTCAGTTAGGATTGTCTCAAACACCACTTGGTCAACCTTATACAGTTAGGACTACAGTCCAAATCCCCTGCCTCGATTCTCCATGAACGAGAGGTCGCACTTTCAATGAGTGATCAACTTCCTAAACAGTTAGGGTCATCTCAACTCCTGCTTGGTTCAACCTTGGCGCTACAGTTAGGACGCAAAACCGCCATTCACTCCAATCGATAAACAAACTTCCATCTTTGTTTCGGTAACAACCTTCCGACAGTTAGGGTTATCCGAATCTTTTCGATTTCTGCGAGTGGAGATCCCCCTCAGTTGTCACCTTTCTGGATTCTGAGGTGGAGATCACCTCGGTCTCGCCTTTCCAGTTGAAGATAGATATAAAATCTGTCTGCTTCACTTGTCGGGAGATAGAATATAAAAATTCTTCCTCTCCATTTCGGGGGTTCGTCTTTGCCAAGAGAAGCACCACCTTTTTTCACCCTCTAAAATCGTGGCTTCACAGGTAGCAGGGAATTTTTATGCCGAATCCGTAGTAGGGATAGTCAAACGCCTCACAGCGTTGCGTTTAGTCCTTTTTCCGTACAAAAAGACACGCAGAGTTGTCTGGGGTATTCTTATCCTGAAACTAGCAGGATAGAAGTCTGCGCTAACCCGGCGCTGCCGTTAGATTCTTAACGGTAGAAAAGAATATCGTCCACATATTCAAATTGTGGCAGGTTGTTATTAGTAACATCAAAATCCATGGGCCGTTACAACGCATGGGGAATGTCATCCTGAATCGTAAAGAAAGGATATGTCGACACGCTAACACGTGTTCGGCGGTTTTAGTCTTCTTACGGCGATTGAAAAGAACGACCAGAGTCTATCTGGGTATCTCATACCGAAGCGCTAATAGGGATAAGTCACGTCTTAATAACGTTGCCAGGTAGCCTATTCCCGTAACAATGGCGAACGCCTATGTATTCAACATCATAGCAACTACCAAGTCTAGAGAGAATTTCAGCTCTCCATAGCACAACGTAGCATCGGAAACGGATTCGTCAAACCGCATGCTAGCCCGACTAGGCCGACTCGAAAGGTAAGTCGCAAGGCTAATCAAATCGGCGTTAAAGCTTGGGTTAGTCCAAAATCCTAAAGTCAACAGCCTAACACGCGTCGGCCGTAGTACTATCCGTGAGAAAAGACGAAGTCTAGCGTATTCGAATCGGTAGGCATCAGTCTAAGGAGTTCATTCTTTAGCATAAGTCCACATGCGGAAACGGACTTAAACAATCCGCATGTAGCCGATTCAAAGCGTAATCGGTAAAAGCTGTCATAATCCGTTGAAGGCTGAGGATTGCCAAAAATCCTAAGTCAACGTCTGATTACACTTGCTGTTTAGGTCTTTTCAAAGCAGGGAGAAAAGACGAAGTTACGTATTCAATATCGTAGGGCACTAAAAAAAGGGTTAACTCTTTTAGGCGTACCGTCACATGCGGGAACGGAACTTAAACAATCCGCATGCTAGCGCCGACTCACAGCGGTCGTCGGTAAAGGAGGCATCAAACCGGCGTTGATGGCTGAGGATTTGCCAAAAGATCCTATAAATATCGAAAGCCACATGACTCACAGCTTCTTTAGTTGGTCTCAGTAGACCTGAGGCAACATACGAACGTTCACAACCTAAGGTTCTACGCCAGACACGCGTAAGCCTTAGTCAACTGCAGTCAATGCGTTGGGCGATCAAAAGGTCACGTACGCGGTCAAACCCCAGGGTCAGACGTGTCGGATAACGCGTAACTTAGGTCACGCCAGTCAACGACGTTGCGAGCAAAAATCGAAACCTAGGGTTAACGGCCGTCAACGCATAACGCTAGGTCACGGCCAGTCAATGCGTTTTTTTGGCCCCGCCAAAAGCAAAAATTTTCCACGTCCGACGTCCAAAATCCTAAGGTCAACGCCGGACACGTACCCTCCGTCAACGCCTATCAATGCTTTGGCAATGAAAAGTCATACTGCGAAAAGTATACGAGTAAAACTGCTTCTTACTCTACTCCCGAAAAGTATACGAGTATAAACTGCTTTCTTAAAGTATACTGTCTTGCTTTTGTCCCGAAGTATAACGAGTAATAAACTGCTTCTTAACTCCATAATATATGGTTATATCACTGTTCCCTAAAAATTTTTGGTTGAGAAGTTCTCTGGAGAGATTTTTCTAAAAATATTCTTAGGAAACTCAGCACACAAACGCCGGACAAGCGTTGCAGCATAAAACTGAGCGCCAGAGCATCGATGGTCAATTCTATGAGCTGAAGATTCACAAATCAGGAGAATCGACTTCAATGTTAAAATTCCGGACAAACGGTAGAACAATAAATGCAGCACGGAAACCTTAAAGGACATTGCGACAAAAGCATCGAATAGGCCTGAAGGATTTGAAGAATCAAGAACACAAGTCATTCCAAGGTCGCATTACACGCGACTGAAGGTTGGACATGCATATCCAAAAGTATTCCAGGACTCTCTATAAAGAACGAGACTGAAATAACTTTGAGGGGGTACTGTAGGCATATAAAATTGCTTATTAGGTCGCCTTTTATCCCGCTCGCACAAACCCGACAACCAACCGAGGCGACGAGATTGACTAATCGCATCAAAGCGACGGAATGATCCATACATGTTGTGGAATCAAGGCCAAAGGTTGGAGGAGTCAACGAGTCATCCAACGCAAAGCCCTACTGCGGACAGAATGACGATCGAATCAAGATCGTTTCGGACTCACAACTCAGAAGCGGATTTACTGTCTACCATCGGGATCCGGAATTTACTGCAATCAGATCGCAAATTCGAATGCCGAACGCTATCACACTGCAGAATCGCCCCCCCCGCCCACGGGAAGGGCACAAAGAGGCAAAACGACAAACACTGGAGGGTCGGCTACCGAGCCACCAGGAGGCTCGTGGCCGAGCCCCAAGTGTGCTCGGTGGCCGAGCCACCTAGGTGGCTGCGTAGCGCCGGCCACTTGTGGTGGTCGGCGGCCACCACAGGTGGCTCGGCGCACCACCGAAGCCACCAGGTGGTGGCTGCGGTGGGCGAGAGCCACCTATAGGTGGCTGGCGCACCACCGATGCCACCAGCCATGGTGGCTCGGTGGCCGAGCACCACATGGTGGGCTCGTGGCGAGCCACCTATAGGTGGCTCGGTGGCCGGAGCCGACCTTAGTGGCGTCGCGGCACTGGTGCTTCGCCACACCGAGCCACCAGAGGTGGCTCGTGCCGGCCACCAAGGTGGCCCGGCCGAAGCCACTATTGGTGGCTCGTGGCCGCCGACCACTGGTGGCCGGCGCACCACTGTGCCAGAGGCACAGTGGAGGGTAAGCCTATAAATAAGCCACCCCGCATTGTTCCATGTTGAGAGGGTTGGAAATTTTGGAGAGGCGAAGCCGCTGTGATCACGCTCAGATTAACAGATTTCAAGCTTTGGGACTTCGAGGACTTGCACATCCAGATCTGGTGCTCGACGATCATCAACGCCAAATAAGGCAGGAGTTCGAGAGGACCGGATCTCAGATCTACGTTGCTACACTCCGGATCTAAGCTTGGTCTTAGATCCCGAGACTTGGACGATTGTTTCCTTAGTGAAACAATCCTCCCCGGCTATTATTTCCTTGGTGAAATAATACCCGTTGTACTGCGTAGATCCGACCGGATCTAGATCGCGCGGTGGTCCACGGCAAACAACCCCGGCGCAGGCAAAGAACCCACAAAAGCGAGCGACCGCAAAACAGGAGCTCGCGATTCGTTCGACAAACAAGGAAACAAAGTTGTAATTTTCATTTCTTTTCAATTTGATTTTCGTTGTAACCGGATCTTATAAAAAGACCGGATCTTTGTAATCGATAGACTATTACAAGAGTGTACAATGGAATCATTAATGAAGAAAGCAACGGTTTTTCCCGCGAACAAATACATTCACCAAAATACTAGAGCGATACATAAATTGTTGACATAGATCCAAAATACTAGAGCGATCATAAATTTTTGACATAGATCCAAAAATACTCTGAAGCTTGTCCAATTGTGTGCTTACTTTCTCAATCTGCTTCTGCACTTCTGCCACCTAGAATAAGCAATGTATCGAACATGTAAGAAGAATATCGAAGATAATAATAAGAAAGACAAGTTTACGAGTAATCTCTTTGTTACTTATCTCCCATTATTCCAATATCACTTGAAAAATAACTGACCTTTGTAATTGTATCCAACAAAGTTAGTATTGCCAACTAAAACCTTCTAATGCGCACCTATGATTATCATAAGATTTTGCTCGTTGTGCTATTTGTTACTTGTGTCTCTCTAACACCTTCCCTTTAATGTGCTTCTCCTTATGTGCTATTTATTACTATATATAACAAGTCCACAATATATAAAACTCTCTGCAAATAAACAATTAAATCTGAAGTTGATGAAACTAACCAGTGATATATCGGCTAGAGAGCTGAGCAGCAACGACAAGAGCCCGATCCTGAATCCTAATTGTATCCGCAACGCTCGGCTCTGCAACATAAACCTTCCTGCATAATGTTAGGAAGCTTGAGTGTCAAATTTATCACATCATTTTTAACAGTAACAACCTGCATTTTAGCTAATATTTTATCTTGAAACAATTACTCCCAACTATTGTTAAGTTTATATCTCAAACCTAAGAGATAATTGACTTTCCAATCATCAACTTGTTCATGCAATTGGAAGCTATTTCCAGGCCGAGACTTAAAACTGCAATTATTTGAAATTTTTGCAAATGTCACTCCACTAGTACCAGTTCAGGAAGTAGAAATTTCTGCAAATGTCACTCCATCTATGTAGACCTTCAAGCTGATGTACACTTAGTGCAGCTGCACAGAATTCATCAAAATCCATCCTTCTGTATTTAAGGGCACTCAACTGGTATGGAAGAAAACAAAGTTTTCATTCTTAATTTCAGTTGGAAAATATAACAGGGTCAAAAATAAAAACTCAAGTGGGATAGAACAATATCAAATTACCGAGACGAGAAAGTCCTGAATACGGGATTCTTTCATTGCATCAGTAACATTTTTCATCAAGGCCTGGTAAGCAAGTAATAAGGAGTTATCTGTTGTGCACCTTGCGCACCGGAGGTGCTGCCGAAATTTCCGCATTGAAAAAAATTAGCATTGCAATTTATTGAGAAGTATTAGTATGTATCACAAGGATATCTAACCATCTTAATGTTTTCCAGGGTAATGCATCCATTCTTATTTGGCTCCAATAGTGCAAACTGCTCCTTCAAATAAATTAGCTCGTCAACAGCCAATGTCTTTGACAGAGCCTGCGAGACAAAAAGAAAGCTTTTCATTCATTAATATCTCATATAAATAATTCTCCTTTCATATACTATCAACTATTTCTACAAACATTATACATCAACAACTGTATACTTAGAAATAGTGATAACAAAAATCTAGTCATTCAATGGTAAAGACCATAGCCAAGAAACCTGTCAATTCGATCAGCAATCTAATTCATCAGCTAACTACTTGAACTACTTTAAACCAACAACTATATCTTAAATTCAGGTGTCCACAGATATCATTACAGAAACTGAGCGATGCAAAGCAATAAAGAAAAACTATATCTTAAATTCAGGTGTCCACAGATATCATTACAGAAACTGAGCGATGCAAAGCAATAAAGAAACCAATATATCAATAAATACGCACCCTTAAAGCAGATTTGCGCAATGATGAAGAACACGTGTAGGACTTCACCAGTCGGAAGATTAGAATATCAAGGGGCACTTTAATCTGACTAGAACTTCTAATCCAAGGATGAGCTGCAGACAGAAGCATCGATTTCATCAGATAAGGAACAGAACTTAACACCAGGTTCGCCAATGAGGACAGGGTTGTTCTTCGTTCGACAAGAAAGGATTCTGATTACTCACCGAATCTGCTCGTCTCGGCCGATGACTGGGTCGAGCTTTCCTGCTTGTTCGACGAGATCTCTCCTGTAAGTTATCAATGCTTGGAAATTCATGTCGCCAGAGGCCAACTCAACCTTCTTCCCTTCTTTACCCTGAAGCTTCTCCACCTCGGATCGAACTCTTGACACACTAATACCAGCCTCCTTGAGGCAATCACCAATCTGAGAATCCTCAACAAGCCCAAGAATAAGCTGATCAACGGTGAGATAAGTGCCACCCCGTGACTTCTGAGACGACTGAGCCTGACGAATGACCTTGATCAACGAGGTCGACGCCGGAATCTCATCGGGAGGCGGAGATTGCGACGGAATCTTGCGGAGGGAGTTGCTGAGGACACGCTCGAAGGATTCGACGGCGGAGGCGTCACCATTGACAACGGCGTTGAGGATCGATTGCCAGCGGCGCAGAGAGAGAGAGAGAGAGGGGAAAGGGGTTACTAAGAGAGAGAGAGAGAGGGAGGGAGGGAAGGAGTTAGAAAGAGAATTACAAGGGGGGAGGGCTTCTTATTTCGATTTTGGGTGGAAATTCTTTTTTTTTTTGGGTGGGGGTGGGGGATTTTGATTTTGGGCGGGAATTTGATGTGCTTATCTTTTTATAGGTAAAATTGTCAAATTGGTATATTTTGTAGACACTAGGTGACAGACTGGTATATTTTATTTGACTTTGGACAAAATGGTATATTATATAGACTCCGGCGCCATATACCCCTCAAGTTTCGCCGGATCCGTTTTTCTGGCTAGTTTTCTCACGTGACGACTCACGTGTTAGCGAGATTTATTGCACAAAACCCCTTCATAAAACTCCCTCAACTACAAAACAACCTCCTTTCTCCTTCCTCCTCTTTTACTCATCAGCAAGTAAATTACCCTCACCGGGGCCTCGTCGGACCCACCATCTACCGCCGCCTCAAAACCCTAGGCTTCATCGGGGCCTCCATAACTTCCACCCGGAATATTCCCATGTGCTACCTGTTTTGATTTGAAGATTTCATGAGAAAACACTATCATCGAGGTCGGAAATAGGGGGAGGCAACAGACAGAAGGCCAAGATGGCTCGCGAGATGCACTTCGAGAAGCAGACAGCCGGAGCTAAAGGTCCATCTCGATCCATAAAAAACCCCATCGGTTTTGGTCTCGATTTGATCCTCTATGAGCCTAATTTGTTGTTGGTTGGGTTGGGTTGGGTTGATTTTTTCAAATTTTGATCAGCTGTTTCTGGTGAGGGAATTTGATGGGTTTTGTGGAAAATTTGTGTTGGTTGGGTTCGGTTGATTTTCTCAAATTTTGATCTCTCTTGGCGTGCCTCTATTGTTGCAGTTCCGTTTTAGAAAAAGATTAGTCATTTGGCGCTTCTACTTTTAGTTTTTTTCCTTCATTTTTATTTTTTTCTTCTTCCTAATTTCCTTTGGGGTGACCTAGAACTAAAAGAAGAAAATTATGAGAGAAGTGACTGAAGAGCTTTGACGTTGATTTAGGAGCAATAGGGAACAAAGACTAGGTGTGGTTGAACCCATCTTGGCCTTCTGTCTGTTACCTGCTTTGGTTCACCGTTGAGGGATTTGGTTTGGGACTATTAAGGAGCTCGTAGAGATGGTGAAGGAAGTGGTTGTGTTTGAAGAGGAGTTGGTTTAGGACTCGTCAAAGCCTGATAGGACACCTAGGAAGCTCATGGATAGCTCGAAGCTGCCTGAGATGGGGTGGAGTGCAAAGATCAGATTGAGAGAGGGGTTGGAGGAGACCTACAGGTGGTATTTGGAGAATATTGTCAAGCAGCAAAGAGGGGTTGGAGGAGGTATTGTGTAATAAATTGAGATTGAGTTTAGATGGAGGGGGTTTGTGTAATAAATTGAGATTGAGTTTAGATTAAGGGGGTTTTGTGCAATAAATCTCGCTAACACGTGAGCCGTCATGTGAGAAAATAGGCTGGAAAAATCAATCCGACCAAACTTGAGGGGTATATAGCGCCGGAGTCTATATAATATATCATTTTGTCCAAACCCAAAAAAATATACCAATCTGTTACCTAGTGTCTATAAAATATACCAATTTAGTCATTTTGCCTTTTTTATATGGGCCAAAGTATCCTAGACGGAAATTTCCGTCTAGGATGTATCCTAGACAGAAATTTCGGTCTAGGATACCTGGCCATTAAAAAAATAAAAAAAGAACCATCTAGGATACTATCCTAGACAAAATTTTCCATCTGGGATGTTTTATCCTAGACGAAATATTCTAGACAGAAATTTTTCGTCTAGTTTAATAGCAAAGTAGACGAAAAATTTTTCGTCTAGAATATTCCGTCTAAGATACACGATTTTCTACTAGTGAATTGAAATCCTTTGTCATACTAAGTTGCGATCATGGTGGAAGCTTAGTCCTTCATGGTGGTGGGGGATGATGAATCCCAAAAAACCAACCTAACTGAGCCGAAACAATTCGGTTTGGTGTGGTTCCATTTATTGTTTACGGTCAGCTTGGTTTAGTTTAATCTAAAATGGTGAAAAACTTGATTGCCCGTTTGCTCAGCCCCTAGATTTACGTATAGAGTCGGGGTTGCAATTATACCTCAATAAATTTACATATATGTTAGTAATTAGTGGGTCTAATTAGTGTGTTCATCCTATTGAGTGGGTGTGTCCTAAGTGGGCTCAAACCAGTTCCTTAGTAAACCGGTTCCTAATCCTAAAGGGCTATAGTTTTGTTTTCTACCCTACACAAATGCACTTATGTAAATATTAACAAAGAGAGAGAGATATAGAGAAAACACATACTACGATCATCACTTCCCCTTCATTAATCCTATGATATATGCGTTAGTCGCGGTGTGTTATGCGGGGGCTTCTCGTGGCATCTGTGTGGTCGCCCTGCATTCGTTATTCAAAGATCAAGAATAGATGCATGGCAATCCTTCAAAAGATCTAGGAAAGTTAATATCTAAATAAGAGTTATTTTTATGCATGGTATGCATTAGTATTAGAGCAAGATGAGGGTTGGCTACATGTTTGATCTTCTTGTTCTTGGGATATAACTATTTTATTGCATCTTATGTTAGTTTGCACTAGATATAAAGTTTCTTGATGGTGACGTTGGTCTTTGAACGTTTGGATTTTTATTAATAAAATTTATTTTTATTAAAAAATTAATTTGCTAGTGTAAAAATCTAATTTTTTAACATCTAGGGTGTCAAATCTATGGTAAAAATTTAACTTTTATGAACTAATGGACAAATTTAATAAATTAGGTATTTATTAATGTTATTTAGAGCTAAAAATATTTTTTTTACTTTTTATAGATTTAAAAACATTTTTTATTTTCTAAAAATAAAAAAGTACAAACCCTATCCCACGCCGTCTGCACTAGGGGTGCTGACAGTGATGAGATCAGGGATCGGTAGCTCTGGTGCAGGGCTAGAAGGCTTTCTCCCATGCTAGATGCCGACAGCGGCATTTGCAGACGTAGAAAACCAAAAAAACAAAAAAGGAGATCAGGCAGGACTCGCCATGACGACGGCACTGGGCCACTACAATAAATAACAATGCAGGTAGGGCTTGAAAGTACTCTAGTGGGGGTGAATAGGATAATTGATAATCTAATCCGATATCGATACCGAATTAAAACTTATTAACAATATCCTAGCAATAAGATATACACAACTGATATATGCAAGGATGTATACTTAAACAATGGGCGATATAAACTATGCGACAATGGCGATATAAAAATATGATAAATAATGAGCACAAGAATAATACGCCAAGGCAATGACAAACAACAAATATGATCACGGAGTTCTGTCTAACACAATTCAACTACACAATCGGTTTTCCAAGTTCACTGAAAACTTTTACAATTACTACACGTTGATAATCACACAATACACTTTTCTAAGTGTTAGTCGAACCGTGTCACCTTCCTCAAGTGCTTGGAATTACTACCTCTCTCTAGGCTTTTACAACCAAGTCACTCTTCTTGGAATTGACTCCGTTATTCTCCCAACCACTCCTCTAAATATCTTTGTGTATCACAACGTGTTTTATAATAAGTGTAAATAAAATAATTTGTTCTCCAATACAAATTAAGAACGAAATTTAAGCTCTCTCAATGTAACAACCCCACAACCTAATTATACAATATGTGTAATACTAAAGCTCAAATTGGTTGTGTGTGTAAACAATAAGAATAACAAAAATTAAAGTCAACTTAATTTATCAAATATATATAAGAATCAAAATGGCAATAAGATAGACAAAAGAGTTAGAAAAAACTTCACCAATGAGAACAAAGAGTTGTAGATGATGATTTGAGGTTGAACTCCTCAAAACCGAAATTGTGAAAGCCTTCTCTTTGTTAAACTCTTTTGCACAAAACCAAAACACACTTAAACTCTTAAAAACAAACTTATATAAACTCAATTAAACATCCATAAGAGAAGAACAAAGCTTGAAGGCTATATATATAACATCCCAACAAAAATAACTCAAAACTAGCCGTTACTATGCAAGCTAGCTGTTATCGGTCGACTGATGAACATCATCGGTCGACCGATAAGCTTGATTAGTCGACTGATAGGGATCGATTGGCTAAGCAAAAACAAAAATCGACATTGCAAATTAGTTTATCGGTCGATTGGTATGAACAGTTGGTCGACCGAAAAACGTGCACAACTCATTTTAAACAATAAACTTAATTTTCAAAGTGTGTTTAAAAATAGCAAATAAATACCAAAAATTATGAAACTTGGAAAAATATTTATATACATGAATATAAACATGCTAGAGAAGAAATTTTTGAAATATCTTTTTCTGTTTGTGAAAACTTACTATTTTGCAAAAAGTCCAAAATACGAGTTTTGTTGAAAACACAATTTTGATAAAATTTCTTTAAACAAGTTCTGGAATACTTTTAAATGGATTTATAGACTTTAGAAAAGATATAAAAAGGTATCATTAAGTCTTTAATCCATAAACACGTTATTTTTCCGAAAAGGTATATAATGTGATAAATATGAAACACATGTGCATGTATATGAATATATCTATTAGTTTCATATTTATATTGCTAAAACTTATCTTTACAAATATTTGTATGGTAAACATATCTTTTAGCAAAGCGAAGCAACCAATGAAAGCCATAAAACAAAAACGTGTATGTGTAAAATTTGAGCTTTAAAGTATAAACACATGAAGTAAAGACCTAAACTACTATACCCAAGCAATAGATCTTCAATTAGCTCGTCTTGGTTGCGGATGAAGCGATAATGAATCTCGACTTGAATTGCGACGACTTCATTCCTATTTTTTTCCAACCTCCTTTGAATGTCATCGTTAAGCTCAATTCCAACCAACCTCCAACAAGGATCTTTGTGTAGGATACTTAACAATCAAATATAAATACTCGACAAATGATGCTAGTAATTGTTTGTTAATTATCAAAATTAGATTAGACAATAGCCACATAAACATAAGACTTAATAGGGCCATATGGCGGTCCCTGACGTGGTGTTGAGGTGGCGCTACTGGGTAGCGCTGCCCCACCACCACCTTGGATCAGCCTTTAACATTTTTGAAACCCTAGGGGAAATTCCGTAAATAAGTTCTTTTAAATTTTTTAAAATTATAGAAATCATTTCTTTCTAATCAGAAAATTGTTTGAAAGCAATAAAATACCTAAAAAGTTTTGGAAAAAATTTAAAAATAGTTTTATTATTTTTCTTTAAAAATTAGAAATTTCTAATGTTGGACCCACTAGATTATATGGTAGAGTTTTTTATACACTAGAAATTTTAATTATAAAATACTAATAAAATCCTAGAGATTTTGATAGGTAGCTATTCTAGTTGGAGCACTTGGGGTTAGGGTTGAGCATTATTCGGTCCAAACCAAAAAAAACTGACCGAATCGACCCGAACCGACCCAAAAAATCAGTTTGATGAGTAGGGCGGTTCGGATCGGTTTAAAAACTTTTCAACCCGAACCGATCCGAACCGACCCGAACCGACCGAATATAGTATAATACTATCTATTCTGATCTCAAACCCTACCCGTCCGTCTCCAAAGAGTCAAAGACTCAAACCCTAAACTTATTTTCTGAATCATTATTGGTTAAAAATAATATCCTTATATT